TCTATAGTTTATACCTCCAAGTGCTACGACGGCAACTGCACATGACTCGCGCAAGAAACGCCCCCAAGGGCCAAAAGAAAGAGCGAAACAAGACCAATAAAAAGACTTGAATACAGGATCAAATTAACAGTAAAATATGTTCTATATCAAAACCCTTTTTCTTCCCTTTTCAGTTTGACCTAATCTTGATGAATTCTTTTCTTCATTGCGTGCTATCCCATTAAAAGGGAGGGGGTTGACTATTCGAGTACATCTCCGTATGCGTCGACGTATCAATACCCTAGAGATCGAACATCCTTGTCAACTACTGTTGAGTCGATACTGAAGGGTTCATCAACGAAAAACAACGCAGCGGAATATAGAACCCTAGACAGGATCCATATGTATATTGAAATCGAGACGGAAGTTCGATACGTACCTTTTGCAGATCGAAGATAAATCAGCAACTGATTGTGTCTGGATGAGCGCCCCAAGTGTTGCGCCTCTACCGGTATCCACACACACGAACGGAATTCTCCAACGATCCACGTGCTAGCGAAAGATCTTGAAGTTCCTTTTCTTGAACGCCTTTTAATTTTCGATACTCTATCGAAAAACCCTAGACGGAAAACGATTCTCTATCTATTTATACAGCCTCATTATCTAGCGGAATTAAAAGAAGTGGGCCGGGCTATTTGGGCCCGCCAAACCGTCCACCTTCAATCGTACGTTTAATCGTTATCTCATAACGCGCACGACCGCATAGATAATTTAAATAGGAGAATAAATTAAAATCTACTTCTTAAGTAGATCAAGGCGCATAGACAATATTAAGTCCGTTCGCTATTGTGTGCGACCCTGTAGGTTCACTAAACATTAGCAGTGTGCCCAAAACTCTTTTGGCCCACAAGTCATAAGCGGTCTCTAGCAACACATTATGACTACCTAAGTATAGTGAAGATCGGTTTTCCGACACAACCTAATCCACAACTAATATTAGAGTATCAACCTTGATTGATTCTTAGGGGCTGCCGGCGCCGGCGGCGTCTATCCTCCGTCGTGGATGCTCGCTATATATCCTCGTCTATAGTTTATACCTCCAAGTGCTACGACAGCAACTGCACATGACTCGCGCAAGAAACGCCCCCAAGGGCCAAAAGAAAGAGCGAAACAAGACCAATAAAAAGACTTGAATACAGGATCAAATTAACAGTAAAATATGTTCTATATCAAAACCCTTTTTCTTCCCTTTTCGGTTTGACCTAATCTTGATGAATTCTTTTCTTCATTGCGTGCTATCCCATTAAAAGGGAGGGGGTTGACTATTCGAGTACATCTCCGTATGCGTCGACGTATCAATACCCTAGAGATCGGACATCCTTGTCAACTACTGTTGAGTCGATACATGATGAGGGGAAAGAGTTTATCAATACACAAGCTGTGCGCACGACGTTGTATTTTATTAATTAGGGTTTATCGATCCAAGGTCTCTGACCATTTTCAGTGCTTCAACAAGTTCCTTTGTCAATATGTACTTCAGCAACTTAGTGTGCCTCCAGAATCTACGAAAGGGAGAGCACCGGAGAACCCGTCCGGTAGGACCACTCTTTCAGGTGCATATAGATATATGGAATTGTGAATTATATGTGCTATAATGTCAACCAGGCCATGCGACCTGTCTAGCGCCCTTCTCTTTATGTCTTTCAATGCCCATTCGCTTTTTGGGCATTATTGTTCATCTTTATTAGTTTGGCAACTTGTATGCATGTCACCATCCAGGATGACATGTTAATCAGTCGAGGGTAATGTTTTTTATCATACTTTTATATGCCAAGTGCCCTCATACTTAATTTAGATTCATGGAACCGACGCAAAAAATTTTATTTACTTTAATTAGTTTTGGGCCTTTTTAAAAGGCTGTTTAACTATATCGACCGCCGGTGCAATAGATGATAAGTTGCTTAAACAATGAAAGTTTCACATATTTCTCTGCTTGGACCCTTGCTTTTGAAATGAATCTGTTCTCATGATGATCAACGCATCCGGAAAAATGGCATAAAGTTCTTTTAACTGTTAAAGAAAGCCATTCCTGTCGGAAGACGGAAATTTCAAAAGGTGGAAATAGGGAATGGGAATACGTGTAGGAGCACTTACAATTTGATTGGATAGGTTATTGACGTTGAAGACTGAATAATTGATACTTAATGGAGTTGCATGTAGCTCACGTACTTAGCTTTCTTTCTTTCTTATCAAAACGCGAAGTGGGGGGAAGTATCAATGACTGGACTTGAACCTATAAATTATATCGGAGAGAGAGTAACTTCTAGTCTTCTTCCCATTATATTGACTTCAATGCATATTTTAAACTGCGACGTTCGGGATTAATTTAAGCAAAGATTAGGAACGAGTGATTTCTGGCCAATCTCGACGTGGGAGGGAAGAGAAGCAAACAAAGCAAAAACCAATTAATCTCTCTTAGTCAAATCACATCATACAAAACCATCGCTATCGTACAGTACAGACTTGGTTTCGTTCACAAGCCCGACAAGATCTTGTGGGGAATATTGATCATCTTGGATATACGTTTTGTCTAAAATGCTCAACAAAGCCATGCACTCAGGACATACCGAATTGCCCTTAGCCACATCTTACTCTCCACTCGCTTCTCTGTTGAATGCTAATTTATCCATACATAGCAACTTGATTTTCCTACAAATACTCTCCCTTTCTCATCTTTCTTGGGCATGCAGTGCCAAAAGAAAAGAAACATGACTAAACAAATATAAAAAAGTAGTTGTAGGAACTCAAGGATTGGCAAATCTTGGACATACTTTCGCAATGCCCATCACCATATGTTCCACCAGAACTCATGCGTCATTGAAGTTTTCAAGTGTCTCTTTATGGTCAAGTCCCTTTTGAATTTCCATTATTCTTTGCCCCATGGAGTCCGCTAGAAAACAGAATGATGGGTGGAGAAGATTGGGGAAGAGGGAGACATTAAGGTCCATCACTAGAGGCAACTAACATGATGGTGGAGTTGTCACAAATTCTAACGCAAACTAAAGAAGGAGAAGAAAGAGAGGTTGTGGGGCAAATTGAGTTGCCACATAAGAGAAAAAAACATATTTCGTGATATTGATGGATGGAGCCGGCAAGGTTGGATATCTCTTTTTTTTATGACTATTAGTTTGAAATAAGTGGTGTGTCACGACTAGGACAAGAGTACAGTTCCATCCTCAAGTCCTCTTATTATCCACTACAAGAAAAAGATTTCATAAAGGAAGGTTTTTCACGTGTCTCTGATCAACCATTGCTTGGCTGGTTGGCCTAGGTGGAGGATCTACATCAAGAGCTAGCATTAGAAATGGGGAGCAAAGATAATCGGGATTTGATTTGATTCTGGATTTTTCATAGAAAATGGACCATTTTTTCTGTGGCAATAATATCAAAAGTATGTTCTCCTAGAGCTTTTGGTAAGGGAAAAATCAATGAACTTCCTGTTTGTCTCGTCTTGATTTTGCACTAGCGTAGGAAATCCTGACACAGAAACTCGGGCATGATTTTTCCTCTCTCTTTCAAATTGCATTAACACTCTTATGTAAGTTGAAATTACGTTTGAGTTTGGCTTTGATTTGGATCTTGTTTTGGTGTTTGTTTCTCTATGATCCCGCGATGGATTCATTTTTGTTTAGAATGCTGCTGATTTGAGAGAAATGCTGCTGATTAGACCTTCACAATCCTCTGGTGACGACTAGGTGGCGGTAGTGTTTTGTTGCAGTGGTGGAGCGATGGCTTTGTTAGTAGTGGTGCCAGTCGAGATGGCGACGTTGATTTGATTAGAAATAATGGGAAGGTAGCAAGGACTGTGATAATAACACACAGGAGATGGTGGTACAGCGGCGAGCAACGGTGGACGGTGGGATTTAAAGATTTTAAACAAGGCTGAAAAGCAATAATTCGGAAATGCACTTGAATACCAATTCAATCCAATGCATATGAACAGGCCCTAGGATTCTCAAGACCCCAGCATAGGATCTTGCATCACAACTCTAAAGCATTCTTCTCGAATCAATCTGATCAGGGAAAAAGAAACTGGGGGAACTTTTTTGGCAGATCATCGGTCTGTGGAAGCAAAAGCCACGTTTCCAGTTGTCCCGGTGAGTAAAAAGAATGTTAAGCACAGCTGAGTGGCAATTACACATGGTCATGTCCTGGAAAAGAACAGCAACTCCCCGAGGACAAAAGGCAGATGAAAGTGATTTTGGAGTTCTCTCAAAGGACAAAAACAGTATCGGCGCACGAGCGGATGATGCAACTGGCAGCAATTCAGGTCGAGACCGAGAGATTTGGGAAGTGTAGGAGAGCCAAGCGGACTCGGCCAGTCTCAAACGGTCTCTGTTTATTGTAGTTGTACACTCAGATCCCATATTCGGAGGCCCCGGCTGGTCGCCTCGATCATTATTGAATTGATGGAGTCTACGTTAGCCATTACACAAGGAAGTACGACTTCTGCTTCTATCAGGCATAAAAATACGAAGAATCACCACCCACAAATGTCTCTTCAAGGAGGGACCATGGCCATGTGCCATAGAGAGTTCTTGTAGAATAGCCCAACCTGGGAGTGACTAGAAACAGACACAGAATCCACAACATCAGGTGTTTATGTACTATGTGTTGCCCTTGTAAGTATCAAACAATGAAAGTGTAAAGCCTTATCAGCACCCCAAGAGGCATTGTCTCATCAGATCACTGAAAGCAAACGATACATAAGACTTTCCCTTTCCATTAAAAGATTTTTAAGTAGTGAGTCTTTCTGTTGTTGGCATGAAGAAACCCGAAACCATCGGTTTATTTCAAGCATAGGGGCTTTTATAAGCCCAAACACCTATCTTGAGCAGGCTGTACATGATTGAAGCTCGGACATGAAAATCTGAGATGCAGTTCCAGAGGATTAACATAGCGTTTCAAGAAAGGTCGACTGATATGGATAAATAAGATCAGACAATACTGGGCAAGGAAAATTAAAACAGAACAAAATGGAAAGATAAAAATATACATACACATACAGCTCACCGTCTCATAGATGTTTTTCTCCAACCTTGCCTTTGGTTTCAAAGACGAAATTCATTTTCTGCTTTCTATAATGGAATATAATGAAAAAAGGTATTACAGGTTTGCGAAGGAAAATTCTCTTCTTCATACATATATTTTACATGGATTACTCCCTGTTCATTTTCGGCCGGACCACTTCTATGAACTCCAAATGGCAGAGACAGAGCATGCTTCAGACGTCGCTCCAAAAATGAGTGATTGCCCGCTCATGTTTGAGATGACTTGAGGTGGAAATTAGCGCAAGCGTCTAGCTTATGTGATGACTGTAGGCTTTTCCCTTCCGGTAAACTCCTTAAGCTTCGATATGGATAAGGCCAGATCTAGCAAAGATGACAAAATAAAGCATAATAGGGTTAAAGAAATCCCAAGGATAGTAAAAAACCATAGGGAGTGGAATAGTCAATCTACCAATTAGTGGTTTCAATGCAATCTGGGCATCCACATCATGTTTTGAGGCATCCGACTCGAACTGCTCTATGTAAATCCTAACTGTTGCACCTGCTGACCCAGTTCCCTGAAAATTTGTAAATATAAATAGATTGTATGTCAATTGTTCCAGATTGTCCACTTTTTATGTGAAAGATGAAAGCAGCAATGTGGGTGACTCCATACTGATAAACGATATATGATCCTTGATCCATCCATGAAGACAAAACGTACACCTTGCTTAGATACAACACTGCCATCCACCTACACAATTTGTAAGAAAATCTAAGTCTTTAAAAATCAGAATTAGACAGTTTGAGATTATCATTTAATAAAAAGTCACAACCAGGTAAATCATATTATTAAGATGCTGAACTCACTGGATCAGTGTAGGTGAAGTCATCTGCAAACTGAAGGACGTAATCACCTATAATGAGACGAGCTTTTTTAGCACTAATTTTGAGGAAGTATCCTGAAAGATTATGTTAGTTGGAGATCATACCATACTTTTCACCCTTTTTACTTTTAGAGATTAAATCCCTAAGGTATTGTACCATTTTGTTGGCTCCTTCAGATTCACACTCCTGAATATTGCAAAATCTATCAAGAACTTGAAGCTCTTACACAAGCCTCGGCAATGTACCAAGTCTTGGAACTTTTGAACAATCAAAGTGTCAAGAAGAGAACCAGAAGTGCTAAAGCTCCTTTGGTGCATACCTCATAGTCATATCTAGAAAAGAAATTTCTTCCGTAAGTAGCCCAATGTTCCTTTGCTATATCAGAGACAGAAACCAACTGCTCCCCTGGTTTTTTGTCTTTGTTCCAGTATGCGAGTATAGAAAGCCAAGCCAATACAGCCCTATATAAAGAATTTGAATGCACGAGATTGTTCATGATATTCTAAATTGACGAACAAATGACAGCCCTAAAAACAAACAGCCGTCAACAAAGAGCACACACTCATACAAGGATAAAGTCGCTATAAGGGAGGTCTAAAAGTAATTTTGAGGGTAGTACTTCCAATTAAAGGTGAAAAACATATGTTTCTAAATTCAACAGCAGCTAGAGGCTCGTCCATGGAGAAATCTCAGAACTGAATCAATGAAGAAATCTGCACAACAGTATTCATGTCTGTTGCCATCCTACTCTTTCCCTTGGGAACAAAACAAGTGTTTAGCAATCAAAAGGAACTTGCACACCAAACACCTGTTGGACCCATGAGAATTGACAGAGAAATGGAACAAATGTTACCATTGCTAAGACGATGAATTTTTGTGCAATTGTCTGAAGATTCTACTCAGAGAGGCCAATTACCAAAGATTCACTGCGCTGTTTCATTAGATGCAAAAAGGAAGAAACTCAACCATGATGAATGGACAGCCAAGTCGTTATACTCCTTGATTGGTTTGTGGCTATTAAATTGGGGCTTATATTGGCACCATCATACGGTCATATCTTATTTGGCTCAAATAAGGCAAACCTACATCTATAGTCAAAGTCAAGCAGACTAGAGACATTTTTATTTTATCTAAGATATTTCCAACTTGGTTAGAACTCATTGGGTCAGGACTAACTCTCAGCTTCCCCTGTTTCCTAGTTCGCACAAACAAAGTAGGGTCACCACCATCCTTAGCATTTGATGAATACACTATTACGGAAAATGCACCACAACCACCAATTTAGAAGTTCACGTCCAAGTTAGAGGTGTCAAAATACGAATAAGGACAGGAGAGAGAAGACTAAACAAGGTTGAACAAGAAGATGAGGAGCACAAGACCAACTGAATAAGCAGCAAAGAGAACAGAAGGAAAATCAATTAAAGGGCCAAACCATTGAAAAATTAAAGCTGTCACTAGGTAACTATAACACGCAATATGAACATCTACACAACAAAAGGGAAGCATTACCATATACCATCCTTCTCACGTATATGATCTGAACCTGTTCCAAAACTCTCTTCTCCACAAATAGACAACTTCCCTGCGTCCATTAGATTTCCAAAGAATTTCCAACCTGTCGGAACCTGGAAGTGTGAAGGGAGGTTCATTTGGGGGTAATACACTAAACATTATATACATAACTATAGCAAGGGCACTAGTGTTTCCAAAATTTAGACCTCAAAAAAAGGAAGATTCAACTTTTGTGCAACCCGATCAAGCGCACCGCTTGTAGGCATTGATCGAGCAAGTCCCTGCATTATCACACAAGAATTAAATTACTAGAGCTGTCCTTTCTCTTTTGGGAGGTGGGGGACTTCAGTATAGAATAAGTCAAGACAAGTGAAAACAGAACCTTAGGACCACTCCGAAAGTATGGAATTGACTGTTGAGCATAGGCAGCAATAATTGCCACGGAGTCTGAAGGAGTAACGAAAAAACCTTGACCAAGAATCATATTCCTGTCCCCATCTCCTGTACAATGATAAAAGCGCATAGTAATATTGCAACATAACATTACCAAAACCTATGTCAACAAGATAACAATATTTTGGTATATAAACCTAAAATACGCATGCAAATACATGATATTAAAACAAAAGTTTTCAGAACTATACATTCAAAAATAAGGAAGAATTCCCCTTTCCATTTTAAGACCAAACCTTGAATAAGACCGGATCTATTACATCCAACTAATTAAAAACCTAATCCATAGGCATATATCATCATACCAAATTGATGAACATAAATCACCAATCATTTAACATACCATCACTTGCAGCTCCAAAATCAGGTGCATTCTCACCGTACATAATATCCACCAAATCTTCAGCATATCTGCACAGTTGGGACATTACTTTTATCAAATATTACATGAGGATGATTTCCTTGTTAATATTGCTTCTTACGTGAGATTAGGGTCAGGATGACCATGGCCAAAATCTTCTAAAGGAACTCCATTTAAAATTGAATCCTTCATGAAAAGAAAACAAGGTATCTTCAGAGACTTGAAGGGGCAATTAAGTACTTCAATCTAATGACACAGTCAATTACCAACTTATGTAAACCACATACCAGGCTAGCGCCTAGCTTGTCCACAAAGATGGGCTTTGCATAAGCACCCGTAACTGCATGCATAGCATCAAATATAAACCTAAAAAGTAAAAAAAGATATGAAATAATTTGATGCTGCACATCTATACCATGTTCATGCATGTTAGATATCTACAGTACTGAGAAGTATGAACATATCCATACATCAGTATTAACATAAGTTTCAGAAAGAAAACAGGGATAAAAGAGAGTATGGCAAAGATGAAGCCACCAATATCAAAAGAAATTTAGTTATCACACTCCTAAATCTGGAAGGATGCACTCCTAAGAAATATGTACAACACATACGTCTCTGACATAGCAAAGGGTTATTTTGCCGCTTCATGATGCGAAATGTATGAGTCTGCTACTTTAAACAAGATCCTCCGTACATATTAATGTGTAGACCGTGCAGTTCTGCAACTGAAACAATTAAAAGCCTGGCATAGACTGATCTTTTGGTCTTTGACACTTTATACTAACATTTGTGGAATAAAAGCCATACAATGGGAACGCTATAGCTATTCCTTCATATGTTGGCCACGGGGAAAGAATGAGCATACCAGTAACAGCTATGCAAATAAGATTCTCACTGACATATCTCAGTATCATATCCGTGCATGAGGTGGGAATAGTGGGGTATTGCGAGGAATGGTAAAATGGCACGCCTCTCACTTCACACTCGTCTCAGTTTCCATTTTTACTACAGTCCAACTAAGAGACGTAGAGTCTCTTATCAGTCTCCATTAGTGATGGAGGCATTGAACCTTCTTTAGACAGAGAAAGATGCTCCTTTTTATCTTGTACAACTGTAGCCTCATTTTACTTATTTATTTTTCCTGTCTTTTTCTCTCGAACTACAGTATAACTTTCGGGATTTGAAGTCCCCTTTAAAGTTAATTAAATGATAGAGTGTTGGATTAATACCATGAGATGACGAAACCAATGCAAGCAAGGACAGGCACTTCTTTTGATTTCACTTTGAATGTATGCAAGTAAGAATAAAGACTTTTGGTAATTCTATAGAGCTACTGGTTTGGCAAGCGTCAGATATTTCTAACAAACTTTCAGATGACCACAGGTTTGAAGAACATTTTGCAAACTACTTGAATAATATTATTCTGGATTAATAGCTCCTTCACTCCATTTCGACTTATAAACGGGATCACAATTCTCATTCCCTATAGATTATGATTGCACTCCAATTGTGTAATTCCTGTCAACCAAATCTGCATTGGCCAGATGTAAACTTGCAGAAAGATCGTTAATGAAAGATAACATAGTCAAATGGCTTCAACAACCTTACAAACTCAATGAAAGAGGAAGAGTAATTAACAAACTTCACAGAAGATGTATAGACATATCCATACCGGAAATCTGGGCGTGACAGAAGAGTTTTTATCAGTTGAAAGTCAAATACGTTCTGCAAAAAGCACCGCAGAAATGACAATGTAGTGTCAACAAGAACTATTTCTTTATGTATTAAGCCAACTTTTGTCCATACCTCCATAAGCTCAAGATAATCAGAAACTGGATCAACCACTTCCACACTAAAATTTCCAAATTTCATAGTTCCAAGCCGAGAAAGGTCTACATCCGGAATGTCTGCCATTTTAATTTCAGATATCTGAAATTGATGACAAGGTGCAGATTCCATTATGCCCAAATAGATGCTGCCTGAGATAGATTATATACTGCGCAAACTTGCGTAAATAGTCTACATTACAACTACTTTTGCCGACATGATTTCATAGAGATCCTAAACTTTAATAGGATTCACGTTATTAATAATTCACAAGATGAAGGCGCAGAAGAATTTTTTTTTCTAACAATAAATTGCACAGTAATTTACTTGGAAACTGAAGTATGAAAATCTTAGTAGCTGCACGTGTGCTAGTTGTGCATAAGATTCAATGAAATTCCTTTTGGAGTTTGACTGTACCATGGAGAAACTAGCCTGATTGTGTCAAAAGAGCGCTAACATGTACCTCCAACAAGCATTTCAACCATTCGATGTCAAATTTTAACCTACTGCCAACACCATGGTCCCAACTTGCAATTAAGAGCCTGCATCTATTTTCACAAGTTCTTTAAGGTGCTCTCCTAGTAGTAATTCATCATATTCTAGAAAGTAAAAACAAGGGGAAAGCAGGTCCACAAAAAATAGACAGTTAGTAGATGACTCAAGAATTGAGAAGTTTAGGGCTTGCTTGCTTAGAATTAAGTTTACTTAAAAGGCACTTCACTTTTATGTTTCCCCTCCATAGTTTAAAATATTATCTCAATTTCAAAAAACTATGGAGAAGTATATGTGATTCTACACGTCAACATTTGTATATGGGTAAAACTTTCAAGTGTTTAGGGTTATAAAAACTTCAAAGTGCGTCCTCCACAAGATTAAGATTAAGCAAAAAGTAAAATTCTATCTACACAGTTTTACAAATTTTGAACATGCATCTTGGCCCTTGAAACTGTGTAATATAACATATTTCATCCAAGGGACATAGTCCATGCATACTTTTGACGGTCAAAGGAGAATCAATATTGTTTAACATGAAAAGAACATAAACTGACTACTGGAAAAGAACGCACAAGATAATAAGCAACTGTATAGATCAACCTGTATGTCATAAAGTCATGCGCTAATTCGGTAAAGAGGTTGAAGGAAGAATGATAAACAATGGGTACCGTCCAAACTGATAACTCATGATACTTACAGAAAGTGTGTTTCCGTATATCTTGTCCGTAATCGACTCAGGTGCAGGTTGTCCACTGTTGTAATTAAACTGGCAATTTTGGAGAGCAAGAAGGGAAATATCAATGAGAGATGACTTGACGGCACTAGATAACAACACTGTCTGGGTGATCATTAGCCTAACTATCATACAATATCTACCACTGAAGATTTACAGAGATGAATTTTGTCAGGTTGTCTATGAAGATGCACAGTCAGAGAATTTGAGATGAATTTTGTCCGGTCGTGAAGATTAGCACTCTTAGAGCATCACTCATCAATAGATTTAAGAATCACCTTGATGCCCCAGTCACATTCAGGCCCGCCTGGATTATGACTGGCACTCATTATAAATCCACCGTTGGCCTGCCAAAGTCAGATATTTCAGGAGCCCCATTCATATAAAAGAAACTTGGAATCAAAGACCAAGAAAGTGAAAGCCCAGAGGAAGCCTAAGATATGATCACCTTCCTCTTTCGTATTACAGCAGAAACAGCAGGCGTTGACATAATGCCGTCCCTGGGTTGGTGGAAGGTATCATTAAGTACCATAAACAATTTCTTTTCAGAAAAAAGGTACATTGGCAAGATAAACAGAGAGACACAGAGAAAGCGAGCAGAAAGAAGTCCAAGTTATAGCCAAGGGTCCAAGGTAGCTTACTACTTCTTTATAACCTAAGTTTTGGGCAAAAGAAGCTGAAAATCATGACAGATCAAGCACGTTAGTCCTCCATTTGCCACAAACAGAAGGGTATGGTATAGTTATTTCAAAATAAAGGCAATGCAAAATTTCATGTTAGTAAAAAGGATGAGTCAATCCCTAGCTCAGAAACAATAGCTAGTACAGTTTAAACTGCAATAACAGAAAACCAGAGCCTTCTTAGGAAGTTCATGACCGAGAAGATATTAGAACAGAGCAGCCTGTTAAGGCAATGGATTTTGTTAGATGAAATTTAAAACCCTAATAAAAAAAAAATAGGGATAAGTGCATTGGAAGTCCTAAAATTTGTCACGAAAGTGCCATCGAGTCCTAAAACTTTCAAAAGTACAATCAAGTCTTAAAACTTGTCACAAAAGTGCAATTGAGTCCTAAAACTTTCAAAAAATGTAATCAAGTCCTAAAACTTGTCAAGTTGATGCAATCAAGTCCTAAAATTTGTTAGCATTTTCCGATAGTCAAGTTGGATGGAATTAATGAAAATACTTAATTGCACTAACTTGACAAACTTTAGGACTTGATTGCACTTTTGAAAGTTGTATGACTCAATTGCACTTTCGTGACAAGTTTTAGGACTTCTAGTACACTTATTCCTAAAAAATAACCATTCTTACGTTCATTTCTGCTGCGATGGAATCTTCCCGAAAAAGAGAGAGATAATTGCGGGGGAGAATATTAGAGTTCATTGTCATAGTAATCATATAATGCTCGGTACGAATTAAGAGACTTACTGGCCAACCAAAATTTTGCCCACACCATTTCCAGCTGCAATTTTTATTATTATCTGCATTTCATGCAAAACATATCAAATGGAGGCTAAAATGTCTGCGGTAAGAAGGATATAGTTTTCTGAAAACATGAGGAGCAACTAAAAGGCAAATATGAAATATCTGTCACAAATAATGCTCAGAATATGAGTCAAAGCACCTGTGCAGCTTCCCGGTTGAAATATCGGCCATCACCGCCTAATACTAATACCGCATTCTTGTAATCTTCAGGTGGCAATGAATCGAATAGTGCCTTCAATCCAATGACGCGGCGTAAGAGCAACCCACAGAACAACCAAGACATTGACTTTACAAAGATGAAACAAAATTTCACCTGGATCCAATTGGCAAGGTAATTTTCTTGCATAAAAACTTTAACCTGCAAGGCAATCAAGGAGGAGTCAATTAAACTAAAACCAACTCCACTTTTTTTCTTATTCTAGTAGGAACTCTATCAAGAGAAAATAGATCATTTAGAGACCTTAAACATATACCATGCGTAAATGATCAATTATAGTCACCTATTATCCTTGTTTAGATTAAACATTGCACTCAGATATTAAAAGGAACAAGAAATAGAGTCACACCGTCTAATTTCACTATCATTCACATAAAACAAGAACAGGAACATCCATGTAAACAGCAAATATAGCAATTGGTACAACAGAAACAGAAAGAAAAAAAAGAAGAAGAAGAGAAGAATCCACCTTCTTCCGAAGACCACTGGTTCCGGTCTTTTGGCCCTCGATCGGCTTCGTGGGAACTGAATTAATCTGATCGATTACAACATCAAAAGTATAAGCACCTCTGCATTAGAACACGGCTAAACATAGAAACGCTGAAAATTTCAATTTCAGTGACTATGCAGACGCATCACCCGTCATGAACTCTCAACCCGTCGCCAAATAGCGCAACGGAGAAAAATCTCACGCCAGGCGAACCGACCCTTTTCCGAACGATTGAGAAATCCAAGCTAAAAGCGTCAACTTTCGAGCAAGAAACAGAAAAAGGACAGACCTTGATGCCTTCGGGCTCAGCAATGGCGGCGGCAGAAGAAGAGGACGACGCTCGGACCACGAAAGGAATCCGCGACGCCCTGGTCAAAGCAGACTTGGCGGCGACGAGCCGGGTCGCGGCGGAAGACAGGACAGAGAGAGACGAGGGGATTGGAGGGAAGGCGGCATTGCCGGCGTTCGAGCTCGAGGGGTGCGCAGTCTTGGCGCAGGAGGAGTAGGGAAGGTGACGGGTGTGAGGCTTCAAAGAGAGGGCCATTCTTGGGTGGCTTTCGTCCTCTGTACTCTTTACCTTCTTGAAGAGTGTGTGACCGTGAGCGACACGGAGAGACAGAGAGAGCTAAAAAGGGTATTGGGACTATGCAGAGAGAGTGTTAAAGAATGGGGAGGATCTGGAAGGAAAGATCCCAGAGGAGAGAGAGAGAGAGAGAGAGGGTTCTGACACCAGTGGGAGAAGTGATGAAATCCGTGGACTATGCAGAGAGAGACAGCAGAGAGAGAGAGAGAGAGAGACAGCAGAGAGAGATTGGGCTTATCTCATCCTCAAGCTTCTCGATCTTTTTGCACGAGGGATCGCCTCTCGTTCGCACACTTGTGCGACCGCCTCTCGTTTTTCTCGATTCGCGGGCGTCTTCTTTCGACGGGGCTAAAGCAAACATGCAATGAGCTGCAAGATGTCATCTTTATCGTACGAAAACCCAAGAACTTGAAGGGACGAGTCCTTGTCTTACTCGAAGAGTTCGTTCGTACTTGTAATGATCATCGTTTCATGCGATCTAATCTCGTGTGGTGCTACCCTTATCTTTAACTTAGCAGTTCGTTTGGCGAAAATATTTTCCTTTGAAAATATTTTTGGAACATTTCTGAAAATATTTTAAACATAATTTTCGTGTTCGCGATCAATAGAAAAGTTTTGGAAAATATTTTCGCTGACCTTAGTGAAGAAGAAGAAGAAGAAGCTCGGAAAATGATTTCCGCTTTTGAAGAACGAAGTCATTTTCGTAACTAGGTTATTTTGAGGGAAGGAAAATATTTTCTCACGAAACGTTTTCCGCCCCCGAACACTAACCCGGAAAATATTTTCCGGAGAATATTTCCGCAAACGACGGGCCTTGTTAGAAGATGTTCTTCTTCTTCTTCTTCTTCTTTTTTAGTGCTGAATTTTAATTACGGTTAATATGGTGCTTATCTTTAATCCGGCCGAGGTTACTTGTTCACCGCGCCAACGAAAAAGGTCACGAGAGATTTAAAGAAGAGTGCTTTTTCTGTCTCTCGCTCTCTTTTGAGTTGAAGTTATTCGATTCTTTTATTTAAATCTTCAAGTGAATCACATTCCTGTCGATAATTCGCATGACAACTATCAAGTTTCGAGTACCCTGTATGTGTGACTTGGTATGCTAGTGAATGCGGACTTTCTCGAGGCCACTTTTGCCTTGTAGTTATTTGATTGTGGGGCGAAGCGGAAGATTTTATTGGGTTGTTTACCACCTTGCAGTGGTCCAAGGTTGAGTCTCGGGAGACACAGATCGCATGGTAGTCACTCGAGAGTCACGACCACCACGCTAGGGTCACCAATGGTGTTTATGGCGGTGCCTATGGTGTGCAACAAGACAAGGAGCCCGCTATTTTTTTCAATTAAATTTTTAATCCTATCAGAATCTATCTCATCCCTAGATATGATTATTTTATCCAGACAATTCCGGATTTCACGTTGCACCAAATACCTAATAATAGGATAAAAAGGCTATCATATTCGAAATTATATCCAGTTTACCGAACACACTTTATGTTTCATATAGCTTTTAGATTCGTGTTAATAAACTCTTTGACTTTCTACTCTCCCAAAAAAAAAAAAAAAGAGAGGAAGATAGCTTAGTAATTTTCCACAAGGGAACATTGGTGCATGTGGCTAGAAAACTAGTAATTGATTTTACAAGAGAACTAGCAGGAAGCCAAAGCAAGGATGTGTGAAATTATTGCTTTTGGCTCAAAGCTTATATTGAATTCTTCAAGAGCCGATCCTAACATCATTCATCTCCAATTCACATGCATCGTCAGGACTTGATATGCCATGCATTACAACTTAAAAAAAAATTTCGATTACAGACATGTTACAGTTCTAACACCATCTATGAAGGTACGCTATGCTTCATTATCGTCTAGATAAATAAAATTCAATCTTGTTTTTTCCTGATTTTAGTAAGAAATGTCTAATGAATGGATCCTTCAAGATTTGAAAAGGGACGAAATGGAATTGCTCGATTATCGCAATTCACAGTTCATCGAATCAAGAAAAGGCTAGGGACATATCGTCATTTCCGTTTTTCATTATCTCATTTCGTACATTCTAATAAATAAGGTCGTAAGACATCCAAGGAATATATATATATATATATATATATATATATATATATATATAAAATTACGAATTTAAGAATAATTGGAATGAATTTTCACAACACTCGTGTGTCGATATATATATTGAATATGATTTTTCATATTTCTATTATTACAATATATGTTAAATTTTGATGGAAAAGTAAAAAAAAAAAGAGTTTTTTTACAAGTGATGAAAAAGACAGCAAAGGACACTTGGCTCGTATGCATGAGACTTCGCGCTTTTGCTGCTCTGGAGCTTCAACACCACAGGCTCTCTCTCCATCCATTTGATCCATCGTCAAACTCGGGACGATCCTTTAACATCGGAACCACCCATTTTCGTTCATCCCATCTGTTCTTCTTCTTCCTACAACTCCCGAGAGATCGCTACGAAAGCGTCTTCTGGGTTAGTCGTGTTTGCAACTATACTCACGTCTCTGCATTGTTAGGCATTGCGAGGCCCTGATTTCTTCGTCGAGCCACGAGATTGATTCGGTCGCTTCTTGTCATCGTGCCAATGACGGGCCCGAGCTCAAATTTGTTTCTTTGCTGCACCGAGTTCATGGGTGTCTTCACTGGTATATATCATGCTTTTTCATGGAGTTTTCCTCATTGCCTCATCGGTTTTGGGATGTGTTCTGTTGTGAAGATCACCGATGATTGCTATCTTTTTCGGTGGAGCTTCTCTTTGGTATTGAATATTCAGTTTCTTGTTCAACAACCCACACATGTTTCGTTTCGAGCTAAGTAAACGGTCATCGTGGAAGTATCAGCTCAAGGGCTTCTCGTGATGCAATGTCTAAGGAAAATGGACAAAGGTTGGGTGGAGTGCAGTGATCCCGAGTGAAACTGTGACGGCCCAAGCCAAGCGGCGGAGTGCAGGGAGGAGGGATGGCGGTGCATCCGCGCCACTACCCCGGACGTGCGCAGCGAAGTGGGGTACCTCTCTTGTCCCACATCGCCTAGGGGGAAGTTCCGGGCTAGTTAATAAGGCTTGGGTGGCCTATACCGTGTAACGTGTTTTAAAGCCGTGAGGGTCAGTGGACTCAAAGCGAACAATATTACACAGTGTAGACCCGGGATGTTACAGAAACCATTCTAGGATACTAAGTGATTGGAATATTTGGACAAGTCCAGTTTCATGGTTGGATTGTTCATATTGTGAAAGTGCTATTCAGACACCCGAAACCTTTTGGCAGGCGGAGGATGGGCTATGACAGATAGTTGCACTGTGGCCTTAATGAATGAATAAATCCACCACCCGAGCTTGGATATTCTGAAATCATGTCCAAAACCTTGACTGCCTTTCCCGATTGCAACATAATGCAGTTCGCATATAAGAATTTTCCTTTCGGAATTATCACTGCATATGACATCCTTTCAATTCTGATTTTATTGATCTCAAGCCATGAAATTGTTGTAGGTGATGATGGCAATAAATCCTTCCTTACCGACAGAGAGTCTAGAGATAACAATTCACTCGTCCTATGCTTTGGTGAAATGTTGATTGACTTCGTTCCAACTGTTGGTGAAGTTTCCCTAGCCGATGCACCAGCATTTGAGAAAGCTCCTGGCGGTGCTCCAGCTAATGTGGCTGTTGGCATATCAAGGCTAGGAGGCTCTTCAGCCTTTATCGGAAAGGTGCAGTTTAATATTTCTACTGTTGTTCTTTTTGGATCATGTAATTTGTTAGCATTCTGCACTTAGATTTATCTCTGAGTAGCTTTGATTGGGTTCGACTGCTGTGTGACGGACTGTCTTTTATTCAACAGCATGAGCTTTAAGTTTCAACTATGCCTTTCGGTAGCAACCACAATAAATCTGAGTTGATGTTAGTGTAACAGGTGGGTGATGATGAGTTTGGGCACATGCTGGCTAACATCTTGAAGCAAAATAACGTTGACGATTCTGGAATGCGTTTTGACCAAAATGCAAAAACCGCATTGGCTTTTGTAACACTGAGAGCAGATGGAGAGCGTGAATTCTTGTTTTTTCGTCATCCAAGTGCTGATATGCTTTTGCGTGAGTCAGAACTTGACATGAGCCTCATTGAGAAGGTACCTCATCTCTTTTTACTTCCTGCTAAATGTAGTCATAAGATTTGTCCATCCTAAAGTGGGTGGTTACAGGCAGCAATATTTCACTATGGTTCTATTAGTTTGATTGAGGAGCCGTGCCGGTCAACTCATATTGCTGCAATGGAAATTGCCAAAAGGTCAGGAAGCCTACTCTCTTATGATCCAAATTTGAGATTGCCCCTATGGCCATCAGCAGAGTTTGCTCGGACGGAAATAATGAGCATATGGGATCAAGCTGACATAATTAAGGTGCACCCTTTATCTAAAATACAGAAATGTCTACATGTTTGTAGATTTTTACTTTAGTTATTAAAGCACAACGGGTCAGTTTCACAGAGCAGAGTCTGTGAGAGCAGAACTGATCATGTTTCCCCTGTATGGTGCTCATGTTGATTTATGAAATGACTGGCAGATAAGTGAAGAAGAAATTACATTCCTGACAGGAAGCGATGATCATAATGATGATAATGTGGTGTTAGAGAAGCTCTTTCATCCTAACCTCAAGCTTCTTTTGGTAACTGAAGGCTCTGAGGGCTGCAGATATTTCACTAAGGCAAGCTTCCAAAAATGTTTATCTGTTCATGTTCTTGTTTGTCCCTCAAGTGTACCATGAGAAGCAGAAGCATCGGATTCTCGGTTATTCATTCATTTCTTAATTTTGTTCAGAAGCAGAGGTAAATATCCTTAGTGCACTTCACAAACTTTAATCATAGGGTCTGAATTGATAGACATTCCAGATAAATTTTTTTGTTAAGTCTGAAGCCAGAGGCAGTTGAGACAAAGTCTGTCCAGTGTCAGGGGCAGTTATTGGTGCTTCTAGAAAGTGATATGAGTTTGCCAAATACTGATTGATTTGCATGTTTTTCTTTTCTGGCGTTCTAGTTTATTGCGCATTGGCTGTATGGTTTTTTTTTTCATTGGCTGTATGGTTCACTGATAAGGAAATTCAATTCAATAACGGTCTGGCAGGACTTCAAAGGCAGAGTGGGCGGTGTTACGGTTAATCCAGTGGACACAACTGGTGCAGGAGATGCATTTGTAGGTGGATTGTTGTACTGCTTAGCTTCTGACCCCAACCTGTACAAGGTATTGTAGTGCTTACTTCTGAGAGAATTAACACATTTCTTTGCATGTTGTCTGAAGTGGTCTGAAAACATAAGAATTCTACTGCTTCATCGGGGAATCACACTACTTAAGCAATAGCCTTTCCTGCATGACAAGGTTTAGCTATACTAGCCTTAGCTTCAGCTCAGCCTCTAATTCCCTTGTTCCGGTTCTCGAGGCAGGATGAGACGAGATTGAGAGAAGCTCTATACCTTGCAAATGTCTGTGGTGCCATCACTGTGACAAAAAGTGGAGCAATCCCTGCACTGCCAACGAAAGAGGCTGTTTTGGAATTCCAACAAGCTAAGAGTGCTTCATAATGAACATGGAGATAAAAGTTGAACTTGCTTAGTTTTCAAACCTCTTTCCAAGCTTGTGTAATTCAAGTTTACTCTTTGAGGTAAAATCCCACCGCACATTTCATTTCTCTGATTTCTGGTTCTCTTTTTCTTTTACCCCGGGTTCTAGAACTGAAGTGCTTAGCCTATCTAATCACAGTTGTTAATATCTTTTTTGAAATTAATCGTTGCCATATTGAATCTTCTTAGATCCAACTTTCGTGGCTAGAGATGCTTGCCTAGGCACTTAGCAGGAAATTTTCACCCTTAATAGGATGCTGGAAGGGATGAAGACAGTATACTTTGTAATTCTTCTGGCAGATTTTCCGTACAAACTTTCAGTTTGGACACCGTTTGCATGAACGATGGTGGGGCAAAGCCCAAGGCATGAATTCAAAAATTACTATAACAGGGAAAATTCCAATCAATCAGAACTCAGTGGTATAGAATAAACCGGAATGTGCTCATGGTCATGCTTTAAGCGGCGTGTTTCAGCTCCGGCGGTTCGTTCTCTTGTTGTTTGAACACGACAGTTTATTTGATCAATATGGTTATGGCATCTGTAGAACTGATCCCTAACTGGGGACACATGCCATCCTTTTCATTCTTGCGGAAAGCAAATTAGTCGAACTTCGTCACATCACGACCAAAACCGAGCACCACCCGGCTCCTCTAGTTTATCCCTAACTCGCACTTTTCTGCTCGATTGTTGTTCCCCGGTTTGCTAGCGAAACTAGGAAGCAAAGACAATCAGAAGATTGGGAAAGGAGTTCTCATCTGCAATATACACATACATCCCCCATTGTTCAGCCAGACTTGAACGTGGGGGGGATTGTTCAACTCTTTGATAACTGAGAAACGCCTGTATAGACTAAGGAGAGGACCCATAAATTGTCATGTCAAAAACCAATCTTTGCATTTGTTGTACAAGTCCATGGTGAGGTCGAGGACCGATCAGATCCTTAGAAATTTCACGTTAGAGGCCGATGTTTATGGTCGAATCATCTCAGCATCGGCCTCGGCCGCGTGTCAGAAGTAAAAGCAATCGATCCTTCCTAGCAATCGCTTTCGAGAACACCCACCAAGGAACATCATAGCTAGTGATTAGCCAGATTGTGAGTTTTTGATGAATTGTTCTCAGCAATGTTAGGCAATGGACGAGAACCCCGACTTTGGAAATGTCCTGAAAAAGCAAGTCACAAATCGATTGTCCAGTGTATACGTAGCGTAGAGCTGCCTCAATGGTAAAAGCAGACCACCCCCATCAAGCAATGCATGCTTTGAGCAAGTCGTCTGCGTTGCTTTCTCCGATCCCCCATGCTTTCTCATGTGCGCTTCACTAACATCGAGGAGGCATGACATTGAAATTAGAGAAAATGACATGAATGGGCTCTAAATTTTCGCCCGATATATATTGCTGTTCTTGAACTTCTAATTTGTTCAATAGTGGTCCCAAAACTTTGATCCGATGTGCAATTTCGTCTTTGAACTTTTAATTTGCTCAATGTATCTCTGAACTAGCGGTAATTTTCAATTTAGTCTCTAAATTATGTGAAAATGACACAAGCGAAAGGTTTGTATTGAACATTTTACTAATAGTTCGGAGATGATATTGCATATTGGATCAAAATTCATGAATTATTTGTGCCATTATCCCTCGTATTAATATATATTAGGCCAAAACTAAAAATACTAAAAGCGTAAAGATTTATTCGTCAAATCACTTCACAACGTGACATCTTTGATTGAACTGATTTTTTCGATCGTAAGTTAATGATCCAATCGGCAAGTGCATGCCTACTTTTCACACACCGGGAATGTCCGAGGCAAGATTCGTTGGATCTCACTCTTCTTTCCTTAGAGTAGAATATATGTTTCCTCTTTTTTCTCTCATTGAGTTCAAATTGGTTCGGAACGATAATCAAACACCCTACATCGGCTCCTATCACTCACGTGATATCGTCACTAACTTTACATTTGAATTTTTTTAAAAAAATCTCACTTTCGGTTGATTCGTTTCTTTGACGTTGCGACGGCGTATTTGAAATGGGGTTAGCGGTAATTTGGTTCCTTCGATTCTACGGAATTACATGCTCGGTCTACGCCGTGAGCGAACCTATGTTGGCTCCTACGCTCCATCACCTTGAATAGATGGACACGATACGATCACAGCCGTCCGATTTTTTATTTTTTTGGTCGAAGCATCACGGCCGTCCGACTAGGTGGGGACTCACCGCGCGGGGCGCACGTGATCCTAGCTTCAACTGCTGGTTGAGGTTGAGGTCGAGGAACGGAGTCGGCACGCCGAACCGGGTTTAGAAAAACCGGAAAAACCGGCGAGGACCTCCGCGTTTTTGCAGTCACGGAGAGACGAAGGAATCGGAACGATCGCGACGTTCGCCTCCGGATTTCGGATTCTCTGCGCTCCGACGCCGCCTCCGGCCGCCGGTGGCGATCGCGCGACGCGCCGCTTGATCTGACCCGACTCGTCCGTTTGGATCGTCGGAGGAGGAGGAAGACGACCGCCGTGGTTGCGTGCGTCCGGGGGCGCGCGCGCGCGGCTACGCTCGCTCTCTCTGTCTTCTCTGCGACGGCAATGGCGACGCATCCTTCTCTGCTGCCCGAGATCGGGCCCGACGGCCTCCCGAGGGAAGCTCCCGTCATCGCCTACACCGAGAAGGTTCGGTTCTGTTCTGTTCTCCTCTCGGTCTCTCGATCTTTGAACGGGCGATGGATGTTGTTGATGCGATTCTTCCTTCTTCCTTCTCCCTCCTCTTGACAGATAATCGAGGAAGAGCAGCTTCAATTGAAGAAGTAACTCTCTCTCTCTCTCTCTTACTCTCTCTTTCTCAATCTCTCCGATAGCCTGATGGATTTGCATTTGCTCCTGCATTTCCCTTTCGTGCATTGCCGATTCGTAGCAGTAATCCCACTCGCTCTTAGGTCGTGCATTGGCTCGATTCTTTTTGGTGATTTGAATCTGGACGATAATGGCGCTCCTCGATTGATGTGCGATTGAGCGCCTTGATCCTCCGTTAAAAAAAACGAATGCTCTGGAAATCTGGCAGTACTCGCTTGCGCTGGCGTCGATTTGAGCCTCTCCTCGGTGCTGTGACAGTCGTCGCATCCCAGATCTGATGATGCTCGTTGACTTTCTGTGCTTTTAGATACATAGAAGAGAACTACTCTAAGATTCGCGATGTCGAGCGGGAGCTGGCGGGTCTGTCGATGGAGATGAAGCTCACTGCCGGACCGAAAAAGGCAGGTGAGTGGGTGTCATGTGTGCTGACTGCTGGGGCGGGCGATCGTTTTGCCCTCCATGTGTTTCCTGTTTTGTGCTTTTGCCGCCTCTCTGTTTTTCTCGCTGATGCGTACAGTCTTGCCTGCTTTTGTGCATGTGTTAAGCACTTGAACATCTGAGAAAGAAGATTGAAGCGTCGACTGAGAGAATTCGAGTTGCGAAGCTGAAGGAAGAAGAAGCGCGCAAGGTTTGTTGCTTTTTAGTTATTATCTCTGACCATGTTCATACCGGTTCCTGGGCCTTCCCTCGTGATGCGTCTGGGCATATCTTTGTTATCTCGGCCGTAAATGCGAATGGAGGAATTGCTTCTAGCATCTCCTAGCCTCGTCTTCCTGCAATGTGCGCTTTTCCCTTATTAGACCCGAAAGATATTCTCAATTCTAAACGTGCCATGAATAAATTTGGCCCCGATCGTAAGCATCCCGTGGCATGGTCAGTATCTACCCCAGTGATAGAGGCTTATTTTGGCTAATTCTAACTGAGGAAGTGAATAGACAACCAAGAGGGATGTCCTGTTTAATGTCACTCTCTTCACTTGGGGGGTGAGAGGATTTTCATTTGTCTTTGTCCGATTTCCTCGACTCACACGTGATAGCTGCTTATCATATGTATCAGGTATGGGAGGAGGCATCCAAGGCTCTGAAGGACGAGGAAGCAGTGAAGCAGAAGCTATGTGATGACTTATCGAATCTGGTACCTATCTCTAACTGATTGGGTGCACATAATGCCATGTTGCATGCAGTTGTCTTAGACACTGTTGCACTTGATAGGTCCAAGAAAGCAGCACCTCTCAGTTCAATAGACTAGAAGAACTGAAGAGACGACTTTCAGCTCTGAACCCAAGCAGGACGTCAGTATCTAGTCCTCAGGTACGCATCTGCCTTTGTCGTTGAGGTTTATGTTTCATCTGGTAGATAGTAGCGGAATGTCTCTTAATCTTTACCTCTAGTAAATGTTACTGCTATTAAGATGGATTGCATACTTAGATTAAAAGATAATGGCGGGATGATAGCATAAACTAGCAATCATCCATCTCTTATCTTGTGAATATGGAGCTCTTCCTGCTTCTAGCTCTTTCATACTGTAGATATCCTATCTATGTATGCATGCCGTGGTATTAGCAGCCATGATCTGTCCGAACCTGGTTCCCCATTAATGCTCTGACCTCGGGGATTGTTGCGTTTGCTTGGTTTTATGCTCTATTTGTGGTTGCAAAATAAGGAGGTCGAGCCCTCAAGAATCCGGAAGAGAGAGAGCCTGACTTAGCATTGAAGCGTTCTTGTGGCAATAGTATATCGTACACTAGTTGTGATTCAATTAAACAGGAGACCCATCTAGAATTCAATTGGTTACAAAATCCCTATGGAATTCATTCGGTATTTATCCGTAGATATAGGCACTTGCATAATATTCATACACAGCATGTAATTAAAGGCTGCTTTGCTTCCGGGTGTGTATGGGTCGGGAAACGTGTGCAGGCTGCTCCGAGTGGCACCGGTGCCGATGCTCCTGCCCCCTCAGTTCCTCACGCATCGGGAGCAGGTCAAGCAGTCGACAACTCAACCGACCGAGGAAATAGCGGGAACGGCCCGAGCCAACAGCCATCTGCCGATGGAGGAGAAGAAAGAGGGAGAAAGAAGGTCCAGTTCCATGGAAGAGGGAAGGGAATCGGGGCTGTTCCCAACAAGGGTAGAGGGCATCCCGGTCCCGGTTGGACGGGGGCGGGCTTCGATGTGGATGGTAGAACTTGACAGATGCCCAGTTTTTAACTTTGCTATTCTTTTCTTATGCTCAGAAGATTTCGTTGCAACATTTTACCCATCCGAGCATTCTCAGTTGGTATGCAAATGCCATACCTTTTGTACTTCCAGTTGAATATTCAATCATTGAGTTAAAAACTGTATGTGATATTTGTTTGTTTTTAATTAAAATAATTTGGATAACTTTTTATTATAAAAAAAAGTCTTATCCTCTTAGAACATCACCCGGGGCATTGCCACTGCTACTATTATCATTAAAATCAGACCAAAGACACTCTATTACGAAAAGATAAACTTTTCGTTTTCATGGCATAAAATATTATTTCATGCATTTCGGTTGTTTCAAATTGACCCTTTCACTTTCCTTCTGTGCCTTGCATTTCTCCTACTACATTGACTTGTTCCTTTCGGTTAACAAAACATAGATGCTTTTCTAATTTTAATACAATTGGAAAAATAATTCTCTTATAAGATATGGACGATAGATATATTCTCGCATATCATCTTGGGTCTGATGCAGAGATTCAAAAAGAAAAAAAAATAAAAAAGAGAGAGATTAACGGTGGCCTTTGGGTGCTCGCTGGCGCCAAGATTTCTATGCTTTGTCCATAAATCATCAGATAGGTGCATTAAAATAAACCTATGCTTTTTCCTAACTTTTTCTACTCTTACAATATTTTACGCACTGCTAAAATAAGATGTTGTTTAATTTGTGTACTTTTCCAATTCTATTCAATAGGAACAATTTAAAATAACGATTCATTATTTGGACAAGGTTTCAATGCTGCTAAAATAATCGCACTTATCACTTAGGTTTCACTTAGAATTTACTTTAAATTTAATTAAACAATTTTTATTTGTTTTATTTACTTTCCCATTTTACTGCCGTATATATATATAGGTCTCATTATCTAACTTTCTTTGATTTTCTCTCACCTCTTCGTGGGTCCCACCAGCCACTCACTTTGTCCGACACTCCCACTCCCCATCGCGAGAATAAAACATAAAGAAGTAAAACTTACCAAAGGATTTTGCATAAAATGCCATTGTAAAAGACGGACATGGAAAAATTTACTCCAAAGTGTCACGAGGCTAAGAACTCCATGCTTAAGGTTCATCTGTCTGTGTTGTAAACTGTATCAATTTATAGAGTTTGTGTGACATTTCTGGATTAACTCATTTGAGGTATTATCCGCTTTTGCCCGTCTCATACCGAGCCTCACGATTTTGTCCTTTGACGTACAGATAAGCACTTTCTTAGGAAGTTACCCATCTCGATAGTGCTTTAGCTTGGGCTCGCTGCTTAACTTGGGAGTTTCAAAGCAAAGCTTGTCATTATGTCAAAAGGCGTCTCGGTAAATTAAATCCAAGGTGTCATAGTTTGTCCTTCTAGAGATCGACTAAGCATGTGTACAGGAGATATTGTAATGGCCTGTAAAATGGTAGAATGATGAGGAATGTGGAACTGTGAAGTTTGTATCTTTTATCTGTTCATTGTCTTCATTTGGTAAAGCTTGGATCATAATACTTAATAGTATCCAAGCATGTGCACTAGACACTCTTAAGAGACGCTTTTGCCCGTCTCATACCGAGCCTCACGGTTTTGTCCTTTGGCGTGCAGGTAGGCACTTTCTTAGAAAGTTACCCATCCCGGTAGTGCTTTAGCTTGTGCTCGCTGCTTAACTTCGGAGTTTCAAAGAAAAGCTTGTCATTATGTCAAAAGGCGTCTCAGTAAATTAAATCCAAGGTGTCATAGTTTGTCCTTCTAGAGATCGACTAAGCATGTGTACTGGAGATATTGTAATGGCCTGTAAAATGGTAGAATGATGAGGAATGTGGAACTGTGAAGTTTGTATCTTTTTATCTGTTCATTGTCTTCATTTGGTAAAGCTTCGGATCATAATACTTAATAGTATCCAAGCATGTGCACTAGACACTCTTAAGAGACCGGCAGGAAGGAAGTGCTTCTGAAATGTTGTTTATGATGATTGACTAGCTTCGTTCGAGCCATCGCGCTGGGCTGCATATCGTTCCTGGTTTGCCAAATATTCATTCAGATCTTTCGTGCCCGGAAAAAGTCTCTACCTGGAAATTTTTTTATTATCCACACAAAACAGTAGTTGATTTTGGCTTATGATCATGCTTCTTCCGGGGCAAATCCAATTCCATAGGTTCAGAAAACGGAGCTGGACGAAGTAGACGATTTGGTGGAGAGTAACAAGAGAGACATATTTACCATACACTCGGGTTACCGAGCGACAATGGACAGGTATCACTGAGTCAAGACAACTGAGCCTTTTCAAATGACTGTCTAATACTTACACGAACCCATGAACTAGAAGGTGAATCCAGCTGAGTAAAGATACCCCTTAGTGATATTGCTGTGATTCTTATTATATCCTATCGTGCAGCGATTATTAGCCTCGTGTCAGGTGATGGCCGAATCAGTTTAACTTGGGCAATCCGATGAACAACTCGGTCTCGACATCTGTACTCCGGCTGCTCCGGCTATGCATTGCTGCTGCTCCCGGGTGAGCCGACAACTGCCAAGAATTTGCATGGTGCTGAAATTGGAAAAGAAAAGGAATGCACAACGCTCTGTTAGATTAACGATATACAAATGCAATTGAGTGATGATGGGGGACCTAGAAACCTTCACAGAAATAAAATGGGAAAAAAAGATGAAGCCCAACTTCAGATTTGCTGGCATTAAACAAGCCTCTCAGTGTATCTATATTAGGTGATGCAAGCATCTGTCTACGCACCCGGATCTATCGATAGTCACTGGGAAATTCGATTTTTCCCAACATCTAACTCTAGACGATGTTATCTCCTACGTTGCCGTGGAAAAACAAACTCTAATAGTGGTTAGCTACACCAGACATGACTCCGACCTTTTGTTCCACCTAGAGTCCATGTTTAAAGTACAGACTAGTATCTCATGATATCCTCTATGTTTTTGTAATTTTGTCACCATGGGTTGGTATTTCAAGGCTAGTAGTTTTTGTCATCGAGTTAGTATTTTCTAAACAGATCAACCAATGGTTACAAGATCATACAAAGACACAGGAACTTTCAGTCCTTCTACAATCCCATGTGAGAAGAACAGAGTTTCAACCCGATGATAGTAAGTTGGGTCGTAGTTTTCCATTAATTACTCAGAGACACTGTGCAACTAATTTTTATTACCGTATTAGTAAGTACTAACATTCCGATATTTTCATTGGGAAATTTCAATATTTCCCTACAGCTAACACCATAAGTGGTTCTCTCTTCCGTTCTCGAGAAAGACAAAAAAATGAGGAAGCTCGAAAAGTGATTAGGTACGCCAATGTGATCACTATGAACTTTGGATCTGTCTATAGTCCCGGGTTGGAAAACACAATATATCTCAACATAGTGGTATTTCACAATGGGGGTCAGTAACTTAGTGCTAGTAACTTTTCTTATCAAGTCAGGAACTTTCCAAGCAAATCAAGTAATTCTCATGGGATCATAGAAACACAGAAATTTGGGTCCGTCTACAGTCCCATACACAATTGTATCTCATGATTGTAATTTCCTCAACAGTAATTTTCTCAACATGAGTTAGTAAATTTGTATTAGTAACTTCTAGTATGGAGTCAATCACTTTCTTAACAGATCAAGTACGAGACCATAGAAGAACACTGAGAGATTTGAGTTTGTCTATGGTCCCTTGTAAAAAAGATTTGTAGAATTGTATCTTTTGACAGTAAATTTCTCAATGTGGTGGTAATTTTCTCAACATGGATTCGTAGCTTAGTGCTTGTAATTGCTTTTTGAGCAGATCAAACAGTCTCAAGATCATAGTATTCTTTCGTGATGTTCAACGTATCTGCTCATTCTAACTTATGCTATCAAAAAAGAAACTTCTCACAGATAAAAAAAGGTTCAATATAATTACTGGTACCGAACCCATAAATTAGGCATATCTCAAAACTGATCATGTTGCGGTACTTTTTAAAGGTTTTAACACCAGGACTAATAGAGAGCAAGACAAACTGATGACCCTCACATTTTTTTTGTTTGTCCTACTCTAACTCTCAACTCACTCTCAGATTTTTGCCCTGCCTCTTTGCAGGTGTAGAGTCGAAATCTACATTTGAAATTAAATGTCCCCACCCTTAGCCCCCCTGAGAAAGTGGGGAATCAAGCTTCCCACCTCTCCCTTCCCGAGTAAGAAGGGTGGCCACTAGGGCAAACCCCAGTAGTTAATGACCAGCACATTTAACCAGTACATAAACTGTGCAGCACATAATCTACAAATATCGGTTTGATGGATAAAAGCAACAAGCTTCTTCAGTACACAAGCCTATTAGAACATTAGGGCAAAAAACATTCTCAATCATTGAAGACCTCTCTCTGGTCTTAGTAGATCATAAAACTACACTGCTAGATCATACATGGAATTCATTGAGAGATTCCGTTGTAGGTAAGATAGAGGAAAGTGGTTAATTTATGCACATAAGAGTGATGATGTATGGCAAGTAATAGGAAGGCCATAAAAGCATAGATGAGAGAGAGGGTTCACCTTTGCAAGAAGCTTTGCATTCTCTTCTTTTAGAGACCTCTCCTGAATTACACCAAGCAAAGTTGTTAGATTTATATAACCAGGAATTTAACAATGCCGGTTGACATTAGACATGCATTCATCATATTCCTCCACTTACCTTTGCTTGTAACTGCTGTATCTGATCGTTGAATACTTGAGCCTGTAAATCATTTCCATTCAAACATTGTAAATTTCATGTGCGTGCATGTCGTCCACATTACCTTTCTTAGTAAAAGTGAAAAATGAGAATATCAGTTGAGATGATGAACGAATGAAAGGAAAGGGCAATGCCTTGCAATATGGTCAGAAACACGCTTTAAGGGATCAGTTGTAGAGGGAAATCGGTGAGGTTAATAAACTAAAATAACTCGCAAAATTCTATTATTCCGTGCCAAAAATACGGATTTTTGTCGTGCAGATAAATTTCAATTAGTGCCAATAAGTGTCAAGGAATTATTAAAAAAAATGATTGGTGACTTTTTACTAAGCAATTTATTGGTAAATCACAGACACTTCTATAGAATTACCAAACTAAAATAACTCGCAAAATTCTATTATTCTCTGCCAAAA